GTAATGGTTTTACAGCCAGCCTCCCTTGTCACGCTTTGGTTCTAAAATGTAGACACTCGATGACATTGCAACCAGAAGAGGTTGGGGGAGGCTTCCTGTGCTACTGAAAACCCACACTAAAGCTGTGATTGGCAGACATCAGTAATGCCTGACAACTGTTATAATATCCAAGCCCAAACTTTGGCAATTTGCAAAAAGGAATCAATATGAATTCTGGATTACACTTACACCGCTACTTCCTGTTGAAAACGGCTGATTCATTGTTTACATATTTCTGATGTTACAAAAATAGCTTTGTAACCACGGCTATTTAACACACCAATGAATTCCCTGGAGGCAGATTTCTTTTTCAAATTGCAAAAGTAACTTGAGTGTAACTAGAGAGAAATGGTGACAGGATAGGTGGTCCGCGAAACTGAATTTTTTTTAACAAACTCACTGCATACAACACGGGAGAGTGAACCTTGGATAAAAGGAACAGGGTTATTAGGTTAAAAGCTCGTAAAAGTGCATTGTAAATATTATGGCCCTGCTAAGAGCGCGGCCACGGCTCACATTCAACATCACACACAACCCACTCGTCACAGCTTGTATACCGTCGCTGCTGTAATAGAACATGTAATAGAATGGTTGTATTCAATGGCTTTATGAAAAGGTTTTTATTTTTGGTGTAATCCTAAAAGCAATAAAGCTTCCCCATGTTGTTACAAAAGGCAGTCTCTAAAAGCCATGACCTGTCTGCATGAGGCTGGAGTACAGAGCAGGTCTAAAAAGCTCCGGTGTGGATCTAAATGAGCCATCATAAATGTGTGGGTGACATAACCTCGGTGAAAGGTGTAAGCAGGCTGACAGGAACATCGCTTCTGGAAACTCCTGTGTTGCATTAGTGATGATTTTCCAGGAGGCACACGCGCTTCCTCTTCAAAGCGTTCTACGGAATCCCAACACACACAAAAAATACAGGACAATCCCCAAAAACAAGAGGTCATGAGCACGAATCCCAAAACACCCACATAACCTTATGCTCTGGTCAAATCCACTTATGTGTTTGATTTGGGGTGAAATATTTGGGTCGTTGTCGTTCTAAAAACAGCCACCTTTCTGTGTGGTGCGGCGAAGCGTGTAATAGACTTTACATTATGTTAGCGACACCAAACGGAAACTATTTTGTCATGGGGTATTTTGAGTGTTGCATTCTGGAGTACATGACTTAGCAACAGCGTTCACATCCTGCATTCCTGTTACAACACGTCACAAAAGGAACGCTGCTTTACGACTTGCCAGATATGAACGTTTGTGCAATTGAAACATGAGGAAACATGTAATAAATGGACTTTTGACCAGGTCTCATTTGCGCATGTTTAAAGCTATCGTTCCTAATTTTCAAAACCTAAAAAAAATTATTTACAGTATACAGACAACAGAGAAAAAGAAAAAAAAAACTCCTAGCCCAAAGCATAAAATACTGTTACACAGGATAACCGGTTTTATGGGTTCATAAAAAGTTAGACTTTTTAATCGGGCGAAAATGTTACGTATGTAGAAGAAAAGTTGTATACCTGCAGGTTTAAAGCAATTTATTTATTTAATTATTTTACTCTCACTCTCACATTTTGGCACAAATGTAAAAACAAGTTGGATATTTACTGCTTATGCTGCTATGTCTGGCACTTTGTAGTAGTTTACAGTGACTTACTGTAGAGTGGAGGTAAAATATCAGGGAAATCTTCTGACAGATCTCAGCGGAAATCTCTATTCTCTTATAAAAATGAAGGTCAATGACGATATCCCATTTGTTTGAACATATATTTCCATCCTAGATTCTACGTAGCTTAAAACTACAGCGCACAAAAGCACACCACCTCCCACCGCTGCAGACTTTTATCCCTTTTTGTCACAAATCTCTTGCCGTTTCCCACACATGACCTGAATAAGACATTAACCACCCTCTCTGCAACAGGCCCAGGCTAAAGTCATATACAGATTTAGATAATGTGGTGATAGAAGCCCCGTAGATCCTCTTCCACCTCTGGCTCTTACACGCCCCTTTCCGCTCAAAACCAAGAATTCTGGGGATGGGTTTCCTGAAATGTTTGGGAGTTGCCGCACGTCGGTTGCTGATATGTCACATGACAGGCAGAACAATTACTGTGGACCTGTTTCGAGGCAGATGAATTACAGAAATATCTTCTTCCTGGCGGTAGTAAACTCCAAAGCGGCAAAACACAATATGCAAAAATAAGCCGCTCACACTCCCATTGTGCCTTTGACAACTCCAGTTTCCAATTTACCCCGGCAAACTTACTCGGAGCAAATTGGATAATGCGGTGGGGAAATTTTGGCGCTTCTATTTAGCGTTGGTTTCGATTTCACACTTTTCCAGATGCTGCAATTGGGAGAGTTTTATTCAGATTTTTTTTCTCCACTCTTTCTCCACATTTCCATCTCCTTGTCCGTGTATTAAATCCCTGGTGGCTGAGCCTTGAAATGGCCTCATGTTTATTTAAACTCGCAGGACTGTGTGCCGTCCCAGTTGGTCCCGTTTGGGTTTTTTTTCTTCCTCTGTGGTGTTTTCTTACAGCCAGCCAAGCTCCGGGCCATTCATCAGCCTGGCTAAGTGTAGCTACTGCGGATAAACTGCACTTCACCACAATGACCATGCACCCAGCTCTTCGCGCAAAACCAGCGGGTGTGTCAAAGCGACGCACAATTACAGAGGACAAGGGGATGGAGGAGAGGAAATTGTCGTCGAAAAGAGAGGGACAGAGGGAATGCTAGTCATCTTAGTGTCTAATTTTGGTTTAGACCCGAGCGCCACTTTGTTCCATCACATGAGCAAGCCTGAGACTGGGAAACGAGCGGCGTTGAAGAAGCAACGACCACACTCCACAAAGAAATGCCCTGCACTCAGAAATAATGAGCAGTGAAGAGCTGGGATGTGCAAATCTGTCTGTCTGTTTGTCTAGTGATATTTTCATTAAAACCTAAATGTTTGCTTTACAAGTTAAACTTCCAATTTTGGATTAAAAAATAAAATTCTACAAAGTGCATTTCCCCAATTGTAAAAAAAAAAGAAAGAAAAGACACAGCTCCTTCGTTCCCGCATCTAAGTTGAGTTGAAAGAACAACAAAGACAAACTCGGGCGAGAATCCAAATTAGAGCCGAGATGAAGATATGGAAGATCAAAACCAGGGATGGAAAGAGGAGAAAAAAGGAAACGGAATTGGCAAATGCTGAGATCCTGCAGCGACACAGTGAATCCAATTTTAAAAAGGCAATACGAGCCGGAGCCAAACGGCTGTAGGTTACATGGGAGATAATGAAACACCGAGACCAAAGAAGACAGCACTCACCGTGGTTTTATATTATCTATATATATCTCTTCATTTATTTTAAGCTTTTAAACTCACTAGAAGTTGCAAATACAACTCTTGAATGAAAGGCACAGGAAAAATCAGACAATGCTGATAAAATACTCCAAAAAGAAAAGTTACAGTACAAAAGTGGACAGTTCACGCACATACAAATCCCTCCAGCTTGAACTCGTGTTGTTGTGGGCTCATGGATGTCAAGACAAAACAAGGAAACTTTTCTTTATTGCTTTTCCAAACAGACAAAGGGCCTCTTCTGAAAACCACGCAGAGCAACCTTCCTCGCCGACTGTGGGTGCTTCTCTGGGAATTTGGAGCCAGACGACCATTATTTGAACTCGATCTCTCGTTCGCCAAACAAGTCTGCATTTGTTGATTATACTGTACTTCCGTTTGTTGGTCCGCTGGTTACACGAATCAACATCAAACTCCTAAGTGGGGTGTTCAAATATGCAAAAGAAAATTCTCGCCTGCGAATTTTTTAGTGTAGGTCAGACGCTCGTCGCGGAGCTGCGAAGCACTTTGGATTTGCATTTCCCTTTTTGAACATTCGCGTGATGAATGTTACTGCATGTGTGTGGGTTTTGTTTTTCAATTATAGAGACTTGAAATGGCACTTGAGACCACTGTTATGGAGTTTTATGATGTTTTCCCTTTGCCCTGATAAACCAATTAGTTTACCCTGCATTCCTTATGATTGGTTAGAAAGTGTGCATCAGTTTACGAGTCTCTGAACCTGTGATAACTGCACTGCGATATCGTTGCACAGGGATCGACTGGAGGGAAAGGTGCAGTGACTGTACTGCTCACCCTTCTTAATATTACATACAGCCTCTTTGGTATGGACATATCTGCATCCTGGGACTGCCGCAATCCAATTATGTCCCTCCTTATCTTTAGTCTCAAGCTCTGGCTCCTATTAAAAAAGGGGCGGGGAAAAAAAACATGACGGCTATGATTCTGGAACCAGGAAATGGGAGTGATTGATTAAGGGAGCACAAAATGGGAACTATACAGCTGTCGTGGACTTTCTTTTACTTCTGCATGAAAGCCATGCACAGCCCCTGCCTTTCTACCAGCTGCTGCCCGGCCTGTCAGCGGGAGATTCATGCTACCTCCACCTTCCCTGCAGCCATGCTACACAGAGGGAAAGCCACAGAGCTGGGAAAATGTAAACGTTCCAATCTACTTAAACTCAGGCCTCAAACTAAAATACGAACAAAGAAAAAGGAGCAGAACCCAGAGGTAAACTAAAGCAGGTGTTGGATGTCAACACAACAGTTCTGGTGGACTGAGGAGACACGGGCAACCTGCGGCCCATGGTCTAATGATGAATGCATTTTGCGCAACATTTCTCCTCCATTTGGCAGGGGCATGCCTACCTCAGGAGAAGACCTTTACCTGCATCCTCTGTCCTGGTTCTAACAATTCAGACTCCACTTTCACACAGAGGAAAGTCAGACAAAGCCTGAGCTTTAAACTCAACTGCCTTTACATACACTTCCTGATGCAAGGCCGCAAACACTTCCAGTGCAAACAGCAGCAATGACATCATGAACGAGAACCAGGATCTCAGCGTTTGGAGCTTCCAGTCTCTTGGTGATTCAGGCTGACGCCAACTCCATTCACTACCTAGCTGTAGCTGCAGCAGAAGAAGCAGCTAACTGTGTGAGGTACTCGCGTAATTCTTTTGCCGCCTGGTAGCGACCATAGCGCTTTTTAGGTTTGGTGCATTCGTCCAAGAGAGTTTCTAGCTGTCCGTCTTTGGCTATGTGGGCTGGGGGGTCATGGAGTAGTCCGCCGGTGGTGCCACGCCACGTAGCATACCGGGATAGCAGGTTCTGACAAATGGCATAGTAATTATGATCCACTGTGACCCTGGAGCAGAGCGCGTCTTTGGAGAAGGACAGGCAGGCCTCTCGGTCGCACTCCTCGAAGCGGCTCTCGTACCATACATCAAAGTTCTCTGGCTTATCTGTGGGAGACAGAGAACATAGGCTTATAAACTATTCTGATCATAAACACCAGTCAGTAACATTAACATAGATGCAGAACATTCATTGGCGGCCTTTACGGGGCCATAAGCTCCGTGCTCACAGCTGTTAGCAGGTGAATAGTAATGAAGACCGTATGTGGCTGCAGCGACCTCTGATGAAAGTCGCACACTCAAAAAGTCTTGCCTTCATTAGACTGCAATAAGCTTATAGCAGTTACTTATTCAAAGCAGATAGGACTTGGGTGGAATGACTCCCCTGAAATAATAACTGCAGCTAAGGTGTAAAATATAGTCACCCATTTAAAGTACAATGTTCAGTTTAGCTCCATCAAGCCTTTTAACAACTCCTTTCAATAGTTAGAGTAGATTATTACCCACAGAAGCCTGACAGTAGTCAGAGCCGAGGTGCCACTTTTGACATTGCACCAGGGAACTGAAAAGGAAATTCTTTTTCAAAGCACACAGCCAAACAACTCATCTGCTGTTTCATTTGACAGAAATGAACCACTTTGGAGATTTATTGAGCAAATAAAATTCTTTCTCCAGCACATTTCACATTGCCTTTTCCCTTTAGAAAATTGTGCCAGGGTAAAGGAGGCAGCCAAGAAAATAACCTGAAATGATGAGAGAGCTATTGGTTTGTGCATTAAAAAGCCGATCAATAAGATTGTGGAGGGAGAAAGGGAGTGGGTGGGCCCAGAGGATACAAACACATAATCAGTGTATCAGCGTTTGTAATGCACTTCTCCTCTGGCTCATCAGAACAACTCAATCAAACATCCAGCATCGCCCGGTTAGTGAGCAGCGCCGTGCACCCCCAGAGGGGGAGGGGCACATCAACCTCAATCAGTGCAGGTGATGAAGATGGATGTGTATTAAAAGGCACCTATACCACAAACATAAAGTCGGCGTTCCAAGGTGAGGCCAGTGCAATTAATGTTTGCTAGCTGGCCATGCATCACGCTCCTGCACTGATTGACAGATGGCATCAGGAGAGCGTGCCATTCCGCAATAATGAGCCAGTCGTGAGCCGAAAGGACCCCAAAGGCACCTGCTTTGCCCTTGAAGCACAGAAAACTTTAAAACAAAACATTGCAGCTTATTTACCAGTCTACTATGCTGCGCAAATTTTTGCTTCCAATGTATTCCTCTCTAATTTGAATAAGTGCAGAGAGACAAGACGGCGCAGTGGACACGCTCCGAAACCAGCACGTCTCCGTCCTGTCGCGTCCATGTTAAAGAGGCCAGGTGGGTCTTGTCTTTATTCTGCTCACACGTGTCTTCTGCGCTTTGAGGAGGGACTCTGAAATGCTTGTTAGCGCGGCCTTACGAGTGGCATTCAGGAGGACGGCCTGATTTTAACAATGCATGTGGAACAGAGAGGAGAGAGAAGAGAAAGTGATGGGGAGAATGACATATCAACAGTGTGTGTGTGTCTGTGTGTGTGTGTGTGTGTAAGCGGGCTGGAGAGCGAAGTTCAATATTATACCCCGTCCCAGGCTTAAAGATATCCTCTCAGATGTTAACAAGTCAATGAAGGGGAATGGCTTTTCTCGCACCAGCAGACTGTGCGAATCTGCGGCAAAATTGTGAGCCGTGTTTTCTGCTGCCGAGGACGCTCCCTGACAACCGTGCACCGTTGTCTGCTCTCATTTACAAATCAGATGGCCTCGGTTCGGGAGGTACACGACTGACTGCGTACGTCGCTAAATGTTGGATTGGATTCTCGCGGTGCTTCCTGATGAGATTTGCCGGCGTTGTCCGACAGGAGCCCGTGCCCTCCTAATGCTCCTTTCTGCGGTCGTCCTTCCGTTTCTTGGCACACAAACAAAACAGCCGAGCCACGTAAACATCCCCGAGTTTAAACTATGAATGAAGTAAGAGGCTTATGCGCACAACAGTGTGGGTTTCCAAATATGGGCTGTTTTGAAAGTCGACCAGACTTCTGAAAAAAATAACACGTTTTGCATTGTGAGAGAACTCGAGACTGTAACTGAGCCTTCACATTCATTTCATTTGTAAATCCTCACCGGCTACGTGGCAACGTGTGAGATTACAGTTTTCAGACAAAAAATAAATATCCTTCACAATAAATTTAAACGACTATTATATGAAAATATGGTGAACATTTTACAAACACTTTCAATGAGGGCTATTGAGAATCGTATACTGATTAGCACCTATCAAAGATTTTGAAACTGGGGTATCTTAACTGTCAAAGTATCGTAGACAAGAATCACGCAGCTGGGTCAAAAGGAAAACAAATGGTAACTTGGTAAAAGCGCCGCTCATGTGAGTGTGAAATCTTGTGTGGATTTTTTCAGAATCATTTTTATTGCTATGTAAGAAACCGGAAGACACAGACTAGGAAATTGGCATAATAAAACATTTCTAAATTTGATCAAATTACTTTCCTCCATCTCAAAAAGGTTTGGCATTTTTGGCCTCTGTCACATTGTTAGATTACAAGACTCCTGTCACTCCACTGTTAGTCTGTCTTTATCTTATGTTTGGGCTATTTTAATCTAATGTTTTCTATTAAGATAAAGACAGCGGGTTGTGGTCTGATTTGTTCAGAAGTGGTGTAAGTTGTTCAGATTGTTCAGACTTTTTGTTCGTTTGTATAGGAGGAAAAAATAGTTTGTTTCTGTGACTTTTTAGAATAGCAGTAAGTGAAACTACATCTATGTATTGTGATAATCTGATATAATAAAAATACATTTTAAGACACATTTCAAGGCTATTTTTGTTTGGTTGACTGAATATTCTTCCGATGACCGGTTGTTTAGATCCCGAAAAGGTCAGTGAACATGGGTCAAAGGAGATTTGACCAAAACAAAGCTCAAAAAATGTCCCTTGAGAACATGCTGAAGGAGATGGCTTGACACACATGGGGTTGTTCGATTAAAAATACTTTGTAAACTCTTCGTTTTGCAGTCATTATACAATTATTGGAGAAAGAAAAACTCTTCTCACCATGTTTGATTTTATGCAAGTTTCAAAAAGCAGTCAATTCATCAGCTACAAACCATTCCAATAATAAGTTACTTAGAGTTGATCAATTAACTTGTTACAGCCCTAGTTTATTAAAAGAATTGACTAAAAAGAGGCAATCACATTAATTCAGGTCATGACAAACCCACTCCCGGTGCTGCATGTTTACAGAGATCTTTTGGAAGCAACACATTCCTTCCGGTTACCCTGAACGCTAACCTGACTATCTGGCCATTCAATCAATACATGTTTTCAATTTCCTATTAAATAATGCAGTGTGTAACGTATGTGTTTATGGGCTGTACCCCATTTATTCTCTGGTGTCAGGATTTTAATTTTGTAAAACTTCACTTAATCTCCAGATAAATACATCAAGTGTTGACTCCAACTACAACATTCCCTCAACTCCAACCCACCCATAGTTCATATCTGTCACGGGACGCCAGTGTAGGAGCTGAATACACAACAAACACTGCAGTTTATCACTTTAATAGGATTTGTGGAGGTGGGGCCGAATCTTAGGCTGACTGGGTGGTCTCTGTAGTGGCCCCGGGAAGAGGAGCGAGGGGTACCCGCCCGGCCACCACTCCCGGGCGTATATATGCGTGGCTCTGTCCTTGTTAGATTTATTCGGAGGCTAAAACTGGGCCAGTGGAGATGGCTCGTTATCTGCCCGATCTGTGCTTTGATGCAAACGAGCTTATCTGAGGACTACATTCAAGACGAGAGGGGAGCAGGGCCGAACAACAGCGTGTCCCTCCGGACCCGCTCGCAGACCCTGAGAGGAGCTTCTGTTGGCACAAACAACTGACATGAAGCTGCTGCTCTCCAGAGAAAGAAAAACACTGGCTTTAGAGATCACACCACGTATTTGGAGGAAGCTCCTTTGATCAACTGTTGGAGAACTAGGACAATGCACTTTCTCCAGCATTTGTTTTACTGTCCAACGGGAAGACAAAGTGCTAGTAGTTTTCCTGGCTTTGCCGTCTGAACTTTACTCGACCATTTATTTTTCTGATGTTCTACTTATAAACACAACTATCTGTACTTTCTATTCTGTGTTTCAAAATGGGATACTTTGTCGGTGAGACGATATGAAAAAAGTTCAAAGCTGCAGAACAATGTTTGTCCAATGTCATATGGACATTAAAACCAAGACACCGCTTTTTATTTTTCTATCCCCACAAAAAGTCTTGTTTAAGTAACTTTCTGTGGACAAATCTAACTGGAAAATCCCATCTTCATCTTATCAGACAACCTTGTACTGTATGTGCTGATTGGTACTGAGGGCTGGTACTCGCTTTAAGAAAAAGCCGATTTAAGGATGTAACATAGTAAATGCATGTACAAACTAGTGATGGAATAGTTTTGAGAGCGAGGAACTAGTTGCATAAATTATATTGCTTTGTTAATTTTTGTGGTTTCAAAGATTAGATACTCTAGCTTTAATACAGATGTGTTTATCAAATTCATAGTGGCAACCAAAGCTTCAGAGTTCAGATGACAGCTGCATTCCTCACAAGCACAGGCAGCATATTTGGACCTAGGTATCACCAAGCAATCAAAGCTCATATAAATGTTTGATTATAAATTGACAAATTTATTTTTTTATTTGTTGTAATCCCATTAACCAAAGCTATTGATACACCTGTATGTACATTTGTTTTATTTTTCTCAATTCTAGGCTGAAAGTTACGCTTGAAAAAATAAGTAGGTATTTTGTAAGTATATTGTGAAGATAGATAATCCATTATAACATATGAAGAATAAACTGCTGGTTGATCGTCCCCAACAGTGTCCTTGGTGTGATTCTGGGAACACATGCAGTGTTCATGTAGAGTAATGCATGTTGCCACTCACTTTGCTTGATCAGCCTCTTGTCTGCCACCAGGACATTCTCTGCATCGACAACAATGACCTTTCCGTCCCTCGGGCCGACCGCAAAGTTATCGAAGCTGACATCGAGCAGGTAGAGGGCAAAGTCAAAGTCATTGTTGGTTAACTGCTCAGCAATGTCCATCAGCTGACGGGCCAGGTCCACCCTCTTCTCCCACGGAGCGTTGTAGAAGCTCCACAGCTCCTCGCCCACGTAGTTTACAGCCACCACACGTCCACACGCTCCCAGGTATTTGGCAAAGGGCCAGCCTTCATCTGACGGAAAGCTCTGGAAGAAGAGGAAATAACATACTGGTGTTTATTAATCAGGTTGAGACCAAAATTGTATGTACCGTTTAAAAGTGAGCAATGACAAAAAACTGAGATTTATGTTTTATGCAACTGCTTGATGTTTACATAAAACACGGTTGTTCCTCCGATTTTTTTTTTTTGGGGAAAAGAAATGAGCCAAAACCAAAAGATCACTGGAAACAGTGCTGCATTTGGTACAACAAATGGAATCTGAATGAAAAGAACCTGATGTGTAAAAGCCTTACAGCCAAGAGCTGGTGTGTGCTTTCAAACACGGAGAAAAAGCCCAATTTAAACTGCATGATGCTGGCAAACCAAGTTTGGACAAGGATCAAGAAGCCTCTGCGTTACGGATTCATAAGAGAATATCACAAGAAAAGAAATGAGAGCATTTGTGCAAATGAGCCTCTGTCCGCTTGATATCTCTGAAGTAAAACTGAACAGTCATTTACATTATCCACAGAAGACAGATTATATACAATAAGCATTGGTGAGCTACATCATTCTAAAGAACCACCATCTTGTCCATTGTCCTTTTTAAACCAGGAGTGCTGGTGACTCGCACCGTCTCCCTCCTCTTGGTCAGCTTCAATACATTATTAGAACAGTTGTAGAAAACAAATACACTTTACAGTTCCGTAAGCTTCTATCTTTTAAGACAATGTAGCTTCATTATTAGCCACAGATGCTTTGTGTCAAATATGGCAGGGAGCCGGAGAATCAGCGGTGCTTAGTTTTCACACTGGCAACTGCTGCTCCACCTGCTCCACCTTTTTCAGATTCCATCCAGAACTAAGAGGTAGTTGCCTCTACTACAATTACCACTGTCCTAGCTAGGGATGCAATAATACAGCTTAATATGTCCCTGGACTGTTTATATTAAAAGCCACAGTATTGAGGATTTTAATATCTGCCGATATCCAAAAAAATAAAATAAAAACGATAACAGAATGGCCTGGGAGAAAAAAAATCTAAAATCACTCCAAATTTGTTACTAAATTGTTTCAACCATTACCTGTAAGTAAGGAACACTTTAAACGTTTATTTACTAAATACATTTTCAACAACATTTCCAGTATAGGTGCATTCCTAGTCCATACAAGCTTTTCGCTCACAGTAAATACTTCAAGTGCCTTTCGACCACAAGGCAAAGCCACACTAGGATTACGTTTCACTATGCATGGCTGCCCTAACACTCTTTAAACATGAATGAAGAACAAATTATTTAAACACATATGTTAACCCCCTGCTGACCACACAGCTGCCGTATCTCAAGATCTCACCTGGGCAGTGCTGTGTGATTTGTGACAGTCGAGTGGATATGCTAACAAAGCTAAAGACTTTAGACGTACCACCAGCTGCTAAGTAATAGTACTGATTTAACTTCTAAAACGTCTAAGTCCGTCACTATTTTTAAATTGCAAACACCCCAATTAATAAGTAATTGTCCCTAGCCAGCAATTATTTTAGTTTGGTTTCACTATAATTGGATTGTTGAAGCAGTTGGCATTCCAGCTATTTCAGCCAAGTGTTAAAGTGAAAATGCAAAGACCCAAGAACTAGATTCTAATTTTAAAACATAAAATAACCATTCAAATCCTAAGACCTCAAGACTGCATGTATGAAAAACAAACGGGACGAATTTTTCTACTTTGAGAGCTCTTGTGCAGCTCATTTTGGTATGAATTCACACCTAAGGCTCAATCTCTCTCTTGTTCCCATCAGTTTTAGGAAGGAGTCCAAAGAGGGAGGACAATGATAGAGTACATGCACTGCAGTATGTTTGAGCCGATTTCCCTGAGGTGACCCAATCAATTGTGGCCCAGACAAAAGTCTATCCAAGTGAGGGCTGTGGTTAGCTCCAAGCAGCCCGTCTATCCGTTTGTCTGTCCCCTTCTGTCATCTCGAGCCTCAGTGAGTCACCACTGGCAGCAGCAGCACTACTTTAAAAATATTCTAGCCTAATCGCCTGCCTGTACATTTTCTGATACAGCAAAACCTGACAGTAACAGGAATTTTAGAGTAGACATGTCAGAGAAAGTTGAGCAGAAAGTGACGAGAACTGTGCAGCCAGACACTGGGGCGAGAAAGAAGACAATCCCATTCAAGCGTAATGCTGCCAAATTTTCAGATTAGAGATTTAACCAGCTAAATATCTACAATGCCCTTCTAAATGTTTTGAACTGTATCAAAATGGCTGTTTGAAGCTGGATCAGTTGGTACATCCCTGTTTGGCGCACACTCCTTTCACCCACATTCAAACCTTGGATCGTTTTATGTCGCGCCAAATCTAAGCGGCTCTTTGCCTTGTTGACGAAACTTAAGGCCATCTAATGCTTTGGCTAAACCAGTTTTGTAAACCCCCATCCTCTTTCATTCTCATCACCGCAGGCCAATGGAGAGACTAGAAAGACGAGGATGGAGACGGCAAACAGTACGGACAAACAGAATGTCTTTCACTTCTCCGCTCCACTGGACAGGAGGAATCAACCAGCAAAGACCTGCCTGCTAAACACATCTCCCTCTTTGTTGTCAGGTTGCGCCCTGAATGGGAGCAGAAGTAGAGCGACAGCAGACGGGGGGGGGGGGGGGGGGTGGCCCACGGCTACTTTCAGACACCGTCAACGGCTGTTATAAAATCGCCTTCAAGTCTCCTCAGTCCCATCCTCAAGTTTAACATAGAAAACTGCAGTCTTAGTGCGCTGTCAATTACTGGCTTTGACGACAATGATGTTCTATTTTTATGAGTGTCCTGTATAGGTAAGTGAAGTTTAAAAGTAGCGCTTGTGTGAACAATGCATGGAAATTGAAGTGGGTACCTGAGCTTTAGGCTGAAACTATCAAAGAGGGTGATAAATATCCCACAAGTCCCACCAATCATTCTCCCTTAGCGCTCTTTAAACGGTTACTCCGCAGAAGTCATTAACGTTCGCAATGAGGCGTTGAAGAGGGCTGGGTGAGATGAAATTTTAAAAAATTGGACAGCCAAGCTTAATATTACATTCATTGCACCATCTTTTAGCCGCTAAAAGTCACTTCGCTGAAATTTAGCAGAGATACTTTATGACATGTATGTAAAGGAACTCGAGCAGCCATCTTCCAAAGATTAATACTTGAGATTTGCTGAGACAGCAGTCACAAAAATGTAATGTTTCCTGCTGAGCATTTAGTATATAAACCCAATTAACGTTCATGTAGGACAGACATCGTTTCCAGAAAAACTAGACAGAACAAGCATGATCATCCAGAATGAATGAAAAGAGCAGGAAATGTTCTATATATTTGTGCAAATGGTGTTTGCAAAATCTCCTGTAGCAGCCTGGTGAATCCTAAATGAACACATCGCAAAAATGGTGCAAAAATAGTAGATAAACACCTGGGTGCTGCCACGCTTTCATGACTGGCCAATCGACCACTGCATCATCAAGAAAGCAATAAAAACATTGCTGGACAAGAATGGCCCATATTTTATTTTGGATGGTAAAATCAGTAGTTGGTAGGATCATGTTTCAAAACAGAAAAACACAATTTACATACACACCTGGCTGCTCACTAGACCTTAGTTTGTTACACAGATGACCTACCCAAGAAATCCATGCTAACTTTGTCATGATAGTCTGTGCAGCACAGACTGACAGTTTGTGCAGTTTATACAGCAGATACAGCTACATCCTCTTGGGGAGAGGCTGGAGTGGGCTGAAATAAAACAGGGCCACAGATAAATGGGCAGTCTCTAGAGAAGAGCATGAAACGAATGGGCCGAGAGGCACAGGAACACACACCTGCGTCCTGACATCTGCTGACAAAGACGTGCCCTTCTACAGGGCCACGAAGGGAGGGAGTGGGCGCCACTTCCAAAGAGCCTCTGTGTGCTCGTGTATGTGTGTCTATGTGAAACTGTATCCCAGTGTATGTGAATGAGAACATGCAACGTGACCAGGGCTGATAACAACCTCGATTCACAGGCCGCGTAAACACAAGCAGCTCCCAAGATATTTCCTTGGCCGCCCTGCAAAGAACCCTGCGCCATCAAAACACAGAAGCACAGCACACAAATGAAAAATGGACAAACCTCATGTATGGCCAAATCTAAAGGAAGCCATTGGCCTGTTCTTTCAGCCACAAGTGTTTCTCTAAAACAGAAAATTGGTAGTTTGCAGCACAAGTCATTCATGTAGGCTTTTTGTTTAAGTCCTACTTTAAGTGTGGTGGAAATTCTTAACATTTTCAATTCTTCTTCACAAACTTCCCTGCTTACACGCAAACAGGTCAGAGCATGTCTGGAGTCCAGTGATCAAAAGGTAAGTTTCAAGAAGTGCAGCACATATTTTAGATCTGAACAAATTAAACAAATAGAAAAATAATTCAATGAATGAAGCCATGTGTGAAATCTGTTAAAACTGGAGTAATCAGTATCTGCTCACCAAAAAGGAAAAGCAAAAGTGGTGCTCTCCCAAGAAGATGTGTGACGAGTTTAAAATCCACTTGCTTACTCCACAGCAGAGCTCTGGCCCCACAGGGAAGTCTATACTAACCCCTCACCCTGGAACACATGATGCTGCCCATTTCAGCTCTTATTACTTTGCCTCCTGCTGCCCGAGCTCAGCTTGTGTTAGATTTCCTTTTCTCTTCAATGTCATACCCTTGTGGAAATGTGCCATACATGGGGTGGTGTGTTTGTTTCCAAAGTGAAAAACAGAGCCAAAAAAAGTCTAAGCCGAAAGACTAAGTTCATTGGTATCTGAATTTAGACCTCTTCCTCTGCAAACCTCCACTTCAAAAACAATGGCATGTTTTGGTCCATAGGGGTTTTGTTGTTGGAAAAAGTGACAAACAGAATAGACTAAAACCTAAAATAGGTAAAAAAAAAAAAACAAAAAAAACTGTCAGGTACAGCTTCTGTCAGCTTTTACCAAGTAAGTAGGGGTGCAACGGTTTGAAAAAATCACGGTTCGGTTCGTACCTCGGTTCAGAGGC